AGGGATTATACTAGGCTACGAGAATCCCTATTCAGGACTGTTAGAAAAAGAGGGAACATCCCGAGGTAGGCTGGCCCTAAACCCTAAACCCTAGAGTGTGCGACGAAACCCTAAACCCTAAACCCTAAACCCTAAACCCTAAACCCTAAACCCTAAACCCTAAACCCTAAACCCTAAACCCTAAACCCTAAAACCCTAAACCCTAAACCCTAAAAAGGGTCTACACGCAAAGAGAGAGAGTGCTGCATGAAGCCGCGGGGGCAGGGTCGCTCCACGGCACTTTCCCCGACCCCAAGCCCTGATCCCTAAACCCTAAACCCTAAACCCAAAACCCTAAACCCTAAACCCTCAAGAAGGGCCGCGTGCCCTGATCCGCAGGATCCGGCTGGCTTTTGGTTCAAGCTTTCGCTACGCAGAGGTGCGAAGCATCCTGGGCTTGTTCAGGGTTTAGGGTTTAGGGTTTAGGGTTTAGGGGTTAGGGGTGGTTTTTCTCCAGGTCGTGGGGTTTTGGGTTTTTTGGCGGTGGTTTTGGGGTTTCGGGTTCAGGAGTTTGGGTTGTTGTCGCAGTTAAGGGTCGGTAACTCGGGCAATAAGGACGGTTTTAGGGGTTCAGGTTCAGGGCCCCTGCACATGACGGCGACCTCCAAGCGTTGTCAGATGTAGTAGTCTGACCCAGTGGAACGGCGTCGGAGGCGCTTCCTGCCAAGTACTGCAATTACATGATGTCCGTTTATATATATATATATATGTATATATCGTACACATGCAGATACAAATACGTACATGCACATATCCACCGTTTCGATTTGTTGTGAATTGAGTTGCACAAATTGAATAAGATGACAATATAAAACCTGAGAATACAATCCTAGAATAGAATAGTAATTTCAATCTATGGACATTACAAGATAATAAGGTCATATAGCAACGTAACAAGCAATCTTTTAAGACAGCAATATGACGATATATCAACATAGCAAGAAACAGTATAGTATTGTTATATATTATCGAGATATAGCAATGCAGTGATGTAGTATTTGAAGAACATGAGAAGACAATGGCATAAAACATGACAGCAAAATAGGATGATGGCATCTGATGTCTGGACTATCATGTGTTTCGCTTGAAAACTTCATGCCATGATCGTGCGTTTCAACTCCACACCTCCCTAGAGGCCCGAAAATGCACATTGATGCACATTGCAGAACTGCAAAAGAACCGCAAGCCTAGATGTTCACGGGTCCCTACCCCTACCATTCAGGAGTCGAAGTGCTTGGAAAGAGACAGCAACTCTAAAGTCTGGTTGTTCGTACGTCGTGCTTTAGCAGCTCCTTTCGATGGCCGGCTCATCATTGCGTTATGATCTTATGAGCTGTTTCGTACAAACCGGTCCCAACCATATCCTCACGCTTGAATGCGTATTCCTTAGACGAAGCCATGTTCGAAATCAATCGCATCATCCAACAATATGTCCTCTCCTATGCCCATCACCTTCCTTCACATCACAAAAAGAAGGCAAGAACAGGACCCTCTGGAATTGACAGGGACTCACTTTTTTTACCCCGAAACAAGCAAGATCCCTACACCCCAGCCGCAACTCGGATTCTCTGCAGGAGCCTTACATGCTTGGCAGCCCATGGCTTAACTACTTTAGGGTTTCGGGTTTAGGGCTCCTGCAGGGTGAGCACATGCTCGTCTCTCCCGGATTTTTGGCTTGTGTTCTGGAGGTGCGAGGAGTAGTCAGTGCATGTGCACAAGAACCTCTTGCAACCAGAGTGTTGCGGTTTAGGGTTTAAGCTTTGGACTGTGGTGGCTCTTGGATGACCGAAAAACCCTGAACCCAAGGTGTCATGACGACCCTGCTATTTGTTGGCGATGGTGTCCAGCGAACAGGTGCGGTTGCAACTGAGCCTCTGACTTTGGTCCTACTCAATGATTACCACCTTTGCTTACCTTTGTCTTCGGTTGGGTTAGCCCTGGGTTAGGCAGGATGCTCCGATGGTAGTCATCAGGCTTGCACCTATTCAAGGCGTTTGTGGCATATGCCGGACATGGTCTCCCAGAAGCCAAGTAGACGTGTGCCAGGAAATGAAGTCTGCCCTGTCGTCTACGAAGAGAACGAGGAGGAAGAGTGGGCTGCGTGCCTTGTCAGCATGTTCCAACTTCAGATCAACGAAAGGAGATGTCTGTGGCACTTACGAGAAAAGAAGAGACGGCTATACGCAGGGTCGACTTGCAAACCCGAGACTTGAAATCGTCATAGATCCGAGCTAGGCAGCTGAAGAGAAGACACTACCCAGGTATGTTGCCTGGCTACTGAAAGGCCTGCTACTATCAATCAAGGTGTCCCGGCCTTAAACCCTAAACCCTAAACCCTAAACCCTAAACCCTAAACCCTAAACCCTAAACCCTAAACCCTAAACCCTAAACCCTAAACCCTAAGTACGTATCTCTCTCGAGACCTGGACTAGACTCGGGGTCCATTCAGTCACCACTCGGGGTCTGAGCGTGTCTTACGAACCCCTAAGTTCCCTAAAAGCCTGACACTGCGAGAGTCGAACACCCCCAAAGCCTTATGGGTTTAGGGTTTAGGGTTTAGCTCGGGTTTAGGGTTTAGGGTTTGGGGAACTAGTTCGGGTGGTGGTTTATGCCTGGCTTGCTACCTAAACTCTCAAGAAAGCAGGTTTGCATGATGAGATGTGATGAGATTGAGGTCCGAATGCGCAGCTTCCGCCGCAAGGGATGATGCCACGCCGGCAGCTGAGCTTTACTAAACAAAGTGGGAACACATCGTGTCTCCATATTTAGTACTGGGTTTTTTTTGCGGCGTGGTCTGTGAAAGATATCCTAGAAGTTTCTTCAAGCTTGCAAGGCACTTAATGTTTTCAGCAATGGCAAGTTCGGCTTAGCAGCTTGAGGCTTTGACATATTTTGGGCCTTGGCGTGCTTGAACGCTTGATGTCATTGCCTCTCAAAGCCTGTGCAGTGGAAAGATGGTGTACTGCAGTCCGCGCCCACGAAGTCGAAACGCAATCGGAATGTGCCGGGTTTAGGGTTTAGGGTTTAGGGTTTAGCGTTTAGGGTTTAGGATTTAGGGTTTAGGGTTTAGGGTTAACCTGAACTCTGTGATCAGGGCACAAGAGCAGAGCGTTCTGGAGTTTGAGGAGGTGGTCGTGCCTTTGACCGAGGTGCCTGTAGTACCGGTGGTTCTACATGACAGTCGCTTTTCCTCTTCAGGTTTGGAGTTTATGGGGTTTAGAGGGCACTTGAAAACTCAAAAGCCCTGGCGTAAAATGGGTTTAGGGCTCCCCGAAACCCGACGCACGGACCCCCAAAGCCCTTCAAGACAACCGAGCCCAGAGCGTGAAGGTGGCAGCCCAAAAACCACTCTCTGAGACCTGAAGCGCAAAGCAGCATCCCTAAAGCAATTTGGCGGCTTAGGGCATAGGATGACCTTATCAACCCTGACCCTAAACCCTAAACCTAAACCCTAAACCCTAAACCCTTGAAGAGTTGAGGCGGTTTAGGGCTTAGGATGACAGGATCCAACCATGGAGTGAAAGGATGTCACTTCTTTCTTTGCACTTCAGAGGCACAAATCTTTTCGGGTTTAGGGTTTAGGGTTTAGGGTTTAGGGTTTAGGGTTCAGGCATGAAGCAGCTTCCAGGTTCAAAAGGGTTTAGGGTTTAGAGTTCTTCAGTGTGAAGGTCGACTCCTCAATTCATTGGTCTCTCGGGCTCTTTGGTTTTTTTCGGCGACCTTTTTCAGTGGAGGAGTGGATGCTGCTTCTCATTTGCTTGCCAGCATGGGCTATCCTATAACGCCTTCAGGAGGCCCTTTCTAGGGTTGATTATGGGGAATATAGGGCCTAATAGCCCATCCTGGTGCGTCTGTTTCGCTTCCATGAACTGCGAAGAACCTTACCTTAGTTTTAGGCCGATGTACAACCGTCAGGGCGTCATGCTACACGGCCCACCTACCAAAATGCACAAAATCCTACAAAGCCCCAAACCCTGATGGGGTTTAGGGTTTAGGGTTTAGGGTTAGGGTTTAGGGTATATGCAGCTCTCCCCAAGCCTGCACGGGTGCAGATCTCCTCGCGCGAGCTCTTCCTCGCGGAGCTGTTGCAGAGTGATCAGTTGGGGACCGGGGGCGCTCTGAGTTCGATTCATTCAGGGCTTAGACCGACTGAACATGCGGCTTAGGGTGGGTTCTGGGCAGAAGTTGCAGGATTTGAATCGGGCAAGCATGCCGAAGACCAAGTAGGGTTTCAGGGTTTTAGGGTTTAGGGTCTAGGGCCCTATGCCCTAGAAACCCTTGAAGCCCCCATACCCGCCGATCCCGCATCCCAGGGCTAGATGGGCTTCAATACAATGAGGTTCTCTTTCCTTCGAGCCTTTCGCCCATTGAGCCCTTTATGCCCTGATCCCTGAGACCCATGCGCCCTGCTCTAAAACCCTAAACACTACAACCTTAACACCATAAAATCTTCCCGCCCTACAACCCTAAAGCCCTAAAAACCCTAAACCCTCAAACCCTTGAGGGAAAAAAAACAACACTTGCATTTCGGCTCTGAGTTATTGGTTCACTTCCCACGGCCCGGGAGACCGAATGCAGCAAGAAAAGGGGGGCCTCAATGGGCTTGATCCCTCTAAGTCCTAGAAAAGCACACCCTGAACCCTGACAGCCCTGCACCCTAAACCCTTGAGGCAGTTACGGTTTAGGAGTGATTTTATGATCCGTGGGCCCTGGTCTGGTCGAGTGACCCCGACACCGTGCCGGCAGCTGCATCTCAGACTTTTTGTTGCCACACTTGGGGTTTGACATAAAGCCTTCAAGTCTAGGGTCATAAACCCTAAACCCTAAAACCTAAACCCTAAACCCTAAATCCTAAGGGTCTTTATAAGGTTTGCATTCTGCAGGTCTAGGTGAGGCAGATGCGCGCATGCAAGGCATTCCCTACATGGGGCCTCCAAGCTTCTTCTGGCCAGGAACCCTCCATGATACGATGCTGGGCTCTGCTCGTTCTCCTTGCCGTCGCGGTGCCTGATGAGGAGTGGTCAAGGGTTCCCTAAACCCTAAACCCTAAACCCTAAACCCTAAACCCTAAACCCTAAACCCTAAACCCTAAACCCTAAACCCTAAACCCTGAGATGAACATCGAATCAGAGGAACCCCGCCTGTTTGACAGGATTCCCAGAACTGCTCGGAGGTGGGCGATGCAGGCAAGAGGGATCAGGGCCGCAGAGGCACGGTAGAGGCCTTTTCCATGCTATGCTTTCTGCCCCTTGCTGGGATGGAGTGGAGTATCACGAAGAAAAAGTGGCGCGTACGTTTTGCGCTGTAAAACCTCAGCACTCAATGTCCCTGTCGGAAACCCTGAACCCCAAACCCTAAACCTTAAGCCTTTTGCACATGGACATTTGCGTGCGAGGGCTGCTCTTGCTACAAACGCCGGACCTGCTGGTGCAACCTAGAGAGGCTGGGAAAGTGCTCTGCATCATGGTCTCCTAAACCCTAAACCCTAAACCCTACACAGATCCGACAGTGCGTGGGAAGCCCGACAAGGTAGGCCCTTAAAAAAGGGATATCCGGGATATCTTACACTGTACCTTCCATTACGGGGCTTCAGAGGATTTGCTAAGAACCCTAAACACTAGACCCGAAACCCTAAACCCTCACCCTAGTGTAGTCAGAGGGCTTAAATCTAAGCCCAAAGCTATCAGCTTAAGCCTTGTCCTTGAGCCATAGCTGAGCGCGCGTTCTGAGGCCCAAGATTAAGGGTTCAGGGTTCAGGGTTTAGGGTTCAGGGTTCAGGGTTCAGGGTTTAGGGCTGCTGCTGAAGCTGTCCAGGTGCCTGTGCATGACAGATCCATCAGCGCCACGCCACAAGGCCCTCTGATCGAGGACCCCCCGCTGCGTGGACGCCAGCACAGGGTGTTGACTTAAAGCTTCAATATCTGCCCCTTATATATCCTATACAATTCAAGGGCCCATACGCGAGAAACCCTTTGAAACTGAGGGACCATATTAAGAGATCATGAAACTACCCGTACCCTTACTTATGGGTCATAAGGAGGGAGGGTTTTACGGTTTAGGGCTTGAAGCCCAGCCTGGGGGTCTTAAGGGCCTTTTGGCTGCGAAGGATTCGACAATAGGGTTGAGGGGCCTAGGGTGTTGGAGTTTAGGGTTTCAGGGGTTTCAGAGTTTTGGGTTTAGGGGGCCTTTGGCCGCAGAGAATTCGGCATGAGGGCCACATTTTTTTCAGAACTGGCAATGGTGTTTCCCAAATGGCGGTACTTTGTTGAGAGCGTGGTAGCATCTTCACCGTTGCATCGGAGTTCGCCCAATGGGGTCAGGAAGAAAGAACCAGACATTTACGACCACAACAATTGTCCAGAGCATCCTGCGCTTAGCATTAACTCCTACAAGTAAGCCCGAACATCCACATCCTTAAGCCCTAAACCCCATAAACCCTATAGACCCTATAAACCTTATAAACCCTACACCCAGCGTGAAGCCGGCTGCTGCAGAGAGTGCTTGCAGAAACCCTAAGCCCTAAACCCTAAACCCTATAAGACCTAAACCCTAAACCCTATAAGCCCTTAACCCTCAGCCCTGAACCCTAAACCCTAAACCCTAAGCCCTAAACCCTAAACCCTAAACCCAACGCTCCGTTGTTCAGGAGATGGATGCGCTCGTCGCGGCTGTGGAATCAGCTCGGGACCCTAGGGTCGGCTCTTTGGGTTTAGGGATTCAGAGTTTAGGGTTTAGGGCTAGGGTTTAGGGTTCAGGGCTCGGGTTTAGGGTCTAGGGTTAAGGGTCTAGGGTTTAGGGTTTAGGGCTTCGGAAGGTGTTTATTCCTAGGTTACTTTTGGGTCTAGTACAAGTCTCGTCCCCCCCAATTGGCCCTTAACGCAACCCCTCTCTGGTCCCACTCAGAATTGTCCCTCCAGTAGGCCCTTCACGGTTTACAACTGGAAATTCAAAGATGTCAGCCAGTATTAGTAAAAAGTACAGTGTATAAGGAAGACAAGTACATATCCTGTTGGCACTTCGCCAGCCAACCCCCCGAGCCCTAGAACCCTAAAACCGTAAACCCTAACACCTGACATCCAAACATCTTTAAATCTAAAGCCTAGACAAACCCTTTCAAACCCTAGAAAGCCCAAACCATCAAACTCAACTCCACAGCCCTAAAGCTTGAAAGCCTACTTGTAAAACCCAAAAGCCCTAGAATCCCTGAACCCTTTAGAAAGCCACGCCAGATCTGATCAGCCTCCGCTGCCAGCACTTGGAAAGGAGGGGCAGGGACAAGCAGGGGAGGAGGCGATGTAAGGCGATGTATGCTACCCCCTTAAATGTCGATCCTGGTTTCCTACAACGGGTCCACCAGTTTCAGCTGGGCGGGTGGCAAAGCAAGGCTACCACACCACGGGAGGGCTGGCGCGCCCGGATAATGGAGAGAGAGAGAGAGAGAGAAAGAGAGAGAGAGCGAGAGCGATCAATTTTCACATATATATATATATATATGCATATGCATATAATATATACATATGTGTGTGTACGTATATGTGTCCATACTGCCCTAAACCCTAGATGCTTAATGGCCTTGATGCCCCAGTGCCGCTTCTTTGTGGTTGCTGAGGCCGTCAAAGGGTGGAAGATCAAGTGGCCCAGCGCCGCAGCAGCTTTGGACGAGCTCCATGGCCGATGGGTCAGGGCCCCTAAGCCCTAAGCCCTAAACCCTAAACCCTAAACCCTAAACCCTAAACCCTAGCCCTAAACCCTAAGGTGCCAGAGACCCTGAACCCTTAGGGTTGTCGGGCTTCGGGTTTTGGGTTTCGGGGCTTAGGGTTTCGGGTGTTCCGAGTTTACAAAAGGTGCAGAGAACCTGAAACTCCTGACCTTCCCACACTCCTCTGATCAATCGCTCCCCCCCCCTTCGCCCCACTTCAATGTCTTGAGGCTCGGTCTCACAAAAGTATCACACACATACATAGGAAAAAAAGGTTCCTATATGCTATATATATATATAGACATATATATAAATATACATATGTTTGTTTAATTCGTGCAAGCATACTCTCCGGGCCAACTTGTAAGATTGGTGCAGGTGCCCAACAGTTCGAAACTTGTGATTGTAGACCCTATCAAGACTAAGACCAGTGCAACATGAACCCTCTACTCGACAACCCTCTAGAGGCTTAAGGTGCTTGGGGCCCCGCATCCTCAACCCTAAACCCTCCAGGTTTAGGGGGTCCAGGGGTCGTATGGGACCCGGAGCACGAAGCCCTAAACCCTAAACCCGAAACCCTAAACCCTAAACCACCCCTAAACCCTAAACCCTAAACCCTAAACCCTAAACCTGCGGGTGCCAAAAAGACAACCTAAACCCTAAACCCAGATCTTTTGTTCAGGATTCTTCCGGCGGCCGCAGCATCCCCGGGTTATTCTCGGGTTCCCGACCTGACTCTGAGAAGGGCTTTTTGGGGTTCAGGGTTCAGGGTTCAGGGTTTAGGGTTTAGGGTTTAGGGTTTAGGGTTTGCCCGGAGCCCAGTATTCAAAAAGGGTTTAGGGTTTAGCGTTTAGGGATTAGGGTGCTTAAGGGCTTTAGGCTTCTAGATTTGTTGGGGTTGTTTGAATTTGGGGTCGTTTTGGGATGTTTTGAGGGGCTGACGGGCTTTTAAGAAACTAGATTTGTTGGGCTTTTGAGACCGTGCAGGTGCTTTAAAGGCTTAGGGTTCTTTAGGCTTTCGCGCGTTGAAGGGTTTTGCGGTTTGGGACATCCTAAACCCTAAACCCTAAACCCTAAACCCTAAACCCTAAACCCTAAACCCTAAACCCTAAACCCTAAACCCTAAACCCTAAACCCTAAACCCTAAACCCTAAACCCTAAACCCTAAACCCTAAACCCTAAACCCTAAACCCTAAACCCTAAACCCTAAACCCTAAACCCTAAACCCCAACCCATTCCCGGAACGAGTCCCTGCAAAGTGGCCTGAGTGTCAGCTAGGCGGGTGGCCAACAAAAAAACATCACCCTAAACCCTAAACCCTAACCCTAAACCCCTAAACCCCTTAACCCCAAACCCTCTAAACCCTCTAAACCCTCTAAACCCTCTAAACCCTCTAAACCCTCTAAACCCTCTAAACCCTCTAAACCCTCTAAACCCTCTAAACCCTCTAAACCCTCTAAACCCTCTAAACCTCTAAACCCTCTAGACCCTCTAAACCCTCTGAACCCCCTAAACCCCTAAACCCCCTAAACCCCCTAAACCCTGCACCCCAAACCCTAAACCCCAAACCCCAAACCCTAAACCTAACCCCTGTAGGGTTTAGGGTTTAGGGTTTAGGGTTTAGGGTTTAGGGTTTAGGGTTTAGGGTTTAGGGTTTAGGGTTTAGGGTTTAGGGTTTAGGGTTTAGGGTTTGGGGTTTGGGGTTTGGGGTTTGGGGTGCAGGGTTTAGGGTTAGGATTTAGGGTTAGGGTTTAGGGTTTGGGGTTTGGGGTTTGGAGTTCAGGGTTCAGGGTTCAGGGTTCGAGCGATTGTGGGTTGATGTCAGGGCTTTAGGGTGTGAGCCTTCTCAAGACCCTCGTCCCACAATGGGCCTCCCGAAAACCCCTTTAAGGTTTCCGGGAATACTGCTGAGCGTGTTGTTTGGGAGGGCACATGGGGAGAGTACCTTATTTCGGGACCCCTCTTCCATGTGTAAAGAACGATTTTTTAGCCCAGCCTACGTACCCTAAACCCTAATCCCTAAACCCTAAATTATAAACCCCCCTATATAGCCTACGTACCCTCAACCCTCAACCCTAAACCCTAAACCCTCAACCCTAGACCCGAAACCCGAAACCCGAAACCCGAAACCCGAAACCCGAAACCCGAATGTCCGATCCGAGGTTCACTTGCCGCCAAACGTGTCAGACATCACAGTGGCCGTGTCTGTGAAAGGGAAGCGCGACATCGAGTCCTGGGCGGCAACCCGGGTTTAGGGTTTAGGGTTTAGGGTGACCAGGATTTCTAGGTTATGAATTGGGGGAGTAACAGGGCTTTCCAGGCGTAACACATGCACGCATATTCGTTCTAGGGTATGTAGAAGGTTCAAGGTCTGAACTCCACGCGGGTTTGGGGTTTGGAGTTGTCGGGTTAGGGTTTCGGGTTTCGCTTGAGCCGGTTTCCTAGACCAATCACACAAACACCCCCCCCCCCCCCCATGCCAACGAATGGCCAAGTCTCTAAATTGTACTCATGTCGGGGTACCACAAAAGAAGGCTCCGTATTTAGCCGCGAAGCAACCGGAAACCCTATCCCCAACCTGGGACGCCAACTCGAGGAACCCTCGGCCCAAGCATCTTGCAGCCCTAAACCCTAAACCCGAATGCCGCGAGCCAAGGACGTTACCGTCCACACCTTCAGGGCAATACTGGTTGCCATCGTCACTGTGGGCCTGATCGCCTCTTGTCATACATCATGAAGGCGTGAGGCTTAGGGCGGTTTCGGGATGCCACCGTTGCAAACGGGCCCTAAACCCTAAACCCTAAACCCTAAACCCCAGGGTGGGAACACTTCCCCTGCGGTCTCTCTTGTAACCGAGGTCTTCGCCGGCGCGATGAGCGGATTGAGCCGCCCGTCCTTGCATTCAGCCCTCCCCCACCCTGACTTCCCAGGATTCAGGGTTAAGGGGTTAAGGGGTTCAGGGTTTGGGGTTAAGGGGTTTAGGGTCTAGGGTTTAGGGTTTAGGGAGACTAGGCCCTACTTCCACTTTTTTGGGGTTTAGGTTCCCTTATCAGCCGGCCTATGCCATTTGAATAGGGATGTTGGTTGCAATAGTCTCGTGTAGAGTTCAGGTGTTCGGGTGTAAGGTCTCGCTCTACACGACCCCCAAGCACCCCACCCCCCCGCCCCCCTCTCCCCCCATCCCTCCTGCCCAAGCAAAGGCTCAACCCTAAACCCTAAACCCTAAACCCTAAACCCTAAACCCTAAACCAGAAGATGGTGCAGCAACGTTTCGTACATGGCAGTCTTGCAGCGCAAAATCTTAGTTGACTCCTACCGTGAAGGCTGTAGGGTGTAGGGTTTAGGGTTAGCGTTTCTGGTTTGGGGTTTCGGGTAGTCTTAGTAGTCGAGCAGGTACCCTTGAACCTTTTTTGGGGTATTGTATTCCCTGTATAACACTACGCTGTGCTGTACAAGATGGAGATGTCTTTGAGGTTGTAACTTTTCGGGTTCTTAAGGGGGGGGGGGGGGTTGAAGGCGGGTAGGTACCTAGGGAACCTTAGGGAAGCTTAGGGAGCCTTAGGGAGTAGTAGGGAGTACTAGAACCTTGGGTTAATATAGCCCCTTGAACCCACCTCCTTTAAGAAGGGGGGGCTGACTTGAGAAGAAGCCGAAGAGGTCTTGGCCTCCTACAGCTCAGGGACACCGATGTGGAGGCACCCTACCGCAAGAAACACCAAGACAGCCAAGACCCTAAACCCTAAACACTTTGAAACCCTCCTAAACCCTAAACCTTAAGTCTGCGAAGTGTCAGCACTGCCAGCACACACCAAAACGCGACGAGACGTGGCAAAACGAACGTGCAGTCACTCTGGCTTCCTCTGAGTGTGCCCTTTGATGTCTTCGGCTGCGTAATGAATTTCGTGTGCCTTTGGTGTGGTGTCTTTGGTGTGTGGTGGTGCCTTTTAATGTTTCTTTTGTGTGGTGGTGCCTTTGCTGTGGTGGCTATTTATGTGGTGGTGCCTTTGGTGTGGTGGTGCTTGGTGGTTCATTTCCTTTGGTGGTACCTGGTGTGGTGGCTTTACCTTTGGTGTGGTGTGGTGGTGTTTTTGTTTGGTTCTCACCTTGTTTAGGGCACTCACAAAAACCCACTTACAAGTACCCATGCACCTGCAAGTGGCCTCACGAGGTAGGCTTCCCTTTATGGGCTTTAAGAGGCTCATAATTTCGGAATCTTCTTGGGGGGTAATTTAAGGGCAATCCTAGCTCAGGAGATGCAAATTCCCTAAGGGTTTAGGGTTTAGGGATTCGGGTTTAGGGTTTATGGTTCAGGGTTCAGGGTTTAGGGTAACCCGAACACAAGAACACAAAAACTTCACTTGTGTGCTCGGGGTCCAAGAAGGGCTCACATGTGGATATATCTCCCCGACTAGGGCGGGGCCGCTGAATATGCTCCACCCACCCCCCCCCCCCCCCCCCCCCCCCCCCCAAGAAAAAAAAGACACACACACACACACAGAGAATATATGTTTCTGTAGATATATATGTTTTTTTGATTTCTATTTATATTTAACACCCTTCTTGCAGAAACCCTCCAAAAGGGTCAAGATCACAGCTTCCGTACTCCTCCAGCATGAGAAGAGCCGGTATCTCACCCTTGAAAGCAGCTCCTTGTGCTCGCAGGCCTTGGAACGCTCAGGAGACCCCGACCTCGTGGAGATGGGCAAGAACTTGTCAGAAGACCCTCGGCGTGCACATGAGCAGAGGCTCCGAAAGCCGATCTGTGCCGAGTGCTTCATGCGAGCGAGAGAGAGAGAGAGAGAGAGAGAGAGAGAGAGGAGAGAGAGAGGAGAGAGAGCGAGAGAGAGAGAGAGAGACACACACACACACACACCCACACGCACACGCGACGCGCACGCGCACGCGCACGTGCGCGCGCACACACACACACACACCCCAAGTTGTGGTCCTGGGGTTTTTCTGAGCAGCTGCAGGTCCTTCAGGATCGGCACCTCTTGATGGTCACGCTGCTGCTTTGGAACTGCGTGGGGGCGGAAGTATTGCCCTTGGTGCTGAATGCGGCTCGCCCTTACATGCCTCCGGGAAGGGGGGGGGGGGGGGGGGGGGGGGGGTGGGGGGGTTATTTTGAGGGTTTAGGCACACCTGGCCTGCAACTCTTGCGGCCAGCAGCTTAAACTTATAGTACCTGTGGATACTGATGGTTGGGGGGTCCAGGGTTTGCAGGGCTTATGGCATCCCGAGTTTGTGAGAGAGAGAGATGGAGGGTTGGTTTGGGTTTAGGATGTCTCCACATGCTTTCTAGGGTTATATGCATGCGTATAGAAATATAGGGGGGGGGCAACATGCACTTGTCAGCATGCCGGTGCGGATTGAGTGCCGAGTTACCTTCCCTCTCACGTGTGCGACTTGCAAGGGGATGTACACACTGAGTCGCTGAGGTCGAGCTGAACGCCGCTCGCTTCAATGCAGCCGCTGTGGTGTTACTGTGCAATTCTGCCTGTGAACCCACCGTGTCGCCAGGGCAGGTGACAGTCTTGGTGGCATCGGGGGGTTATGGTACATTGCGCAACCACCTGCACAGCGAACAAACTCATGATTTCGCGTCTACAAGCACAGTGGCTGTCGGCCTGCATGATCTGCCGGGCTTGGGTTTCGGGTTCAAGGTTTAGGGTATAGGGTTTAGCGTTTAGGGTTTAGGGTTTACGGCAGTACGGTTTAGAGCCAACATGTCGCAACCCTGACGGCCCCTCAGGCTGTGGCCTCCGCGCTGGTCGGCGTCTTTGGCATTCTCATCGGGGGCGCAGCCCGGTTCAATCAAGATGCTGGGAGGGTTTCTTCGGGAGAGCTGAAAAGGGTTTAGGGTAAACCCTAAACCCTAAAGGCTTAGGGTTCAGGACGCCGGCGTGGGGTTGTGCATGACTTTTCGTAGAGTCGGCTCGGACAAGACAGCTGTGCCAAGTGCCAAGTGCCACCCCCCATCACGGTTTCAATCCGAACTCCTAAATGCCTTATAAACCCCCAACCCGTAGAAACCCAAAGCCCCTTACCAAGGGACCCTAAACCCCACAACCCCTAAACCCTAAACCCCACAACCCCTAAAGCCCGCAGAGTCGAACTGCTGCGACACCCCCTGAGGAGATCTTGCCGCAGGCGCTGTTTAGCGCGGCGTCGATGACGACGATTTGCTCCTTCGTGCCCCTGGTGAAGGTGAGGACTCGGAACCCTAAACCCTACACGGGGTACTGTAAGGGGTGGGCATGTTCCACCTCCGCCCCATATAACAGTGAACGCGACCGCGAAGGGTACTGAGAGAGGCCATAGTGAATTGCAGTGTGATTCTATTCCTGTAGATGGTATGCTGTCTCAACCCGGTGTGTATTACCTCATGGGTCGTGTGTCACCTCGTGCCGGAATCGGGGTTCAAGTGAAGGACTTTGGGCCGTGTGTGCCTGGCCTGTCCGAGTGTGAGCGATTAGATGGGCCAGCTTCTTGTAGGGAGTGGCATTGCACTGGCTTTACTGCGGGAACTCCGCGACTTGTTTCCCACAACGTTAATGTGAGTCTCGCGCCCTCAACCTTTTTGGGGGCTCTCGGGATGAATTTTGGAGGGGGCGCAGGACAGGTTCCGGACGTTGCTAGGCAGGCCCTTGCGATGTTGCATCTTTTTCCTTATAAATTAAATTGGGTTCAACAGGATCAGACAATGTTTTTCAAAGGGTTTTAAGGGCCATCCTTGGCTGTCTTGAATGTGTTTGGTGGGTTGAGGGAGGGAGTTGCGGAAGGCTGGAAGGGCTGAGGCTGCTGAGCAGGGATTGGGATTTTTGCTTGAGCATGACTCAGGCGCAAAGCCAAGGGCCTAAGGTTTGCGGTCTACACACTTTAGGGCCACAAGCAAATTCCAGCAAAAGTGGAAGGTGCTGATCTGGATTTCTTGGCCTGTCGCCCGACCGTTTGCAACGGTTCTGGCATCTTCGCTGAATTGTGCTTTCTGTCCCTACACTCTGATCCCTCGAACCCTGAAACACCAAACTTAGAAGGGCTACGGCTGCAGGCTTTTAGGGTTTGCGTGTGTGTGTGTGTGTGTGTGTGTGTGTGTGTGACTAGGTAAACAATTGGACTAACACATGCTGTCAATATAGAGCGCAGACCATCTCCACACGGTCCTACTGCTGAAGCTTTCTAAAATCACCGATCTGAGAGATTCCCCTAAATGGCCACTGAACTCTGGCCCCGTCTTTGGGGTTGATACTACAAGGCTGCCCCGAATATTTAGACTACCCCAAGAGGGACCGTGAATTTTGGAAGTGACCACCAAAATGTCTTTCCATCATTTTTCAACAATGTTTAGTCTTCGGGAGAGCCTTTATCTTCACACGCACCCCCCCCCCCCCCCCGCGCCCCCTTCCCACCAACAGATTACATGTCAACAACGAGGCTCCAACTAGGTATGCAGAAATGCGGCTGTGAACCAACCAAGCTCAACTCAACATCTCGCAAAAAGAAACAATCGTGACAACTCGCACTATAGTTACGAGTATTAGTTGGGGCGCCATGCTACATAAACCCTAAACCCTAAACCCTTGTTAACGCTACACAGAACTCTCTGTCTCATTGCCCTGGTCTGCTACATCGACCTGTGTGCTTACACACCTGCATCAGCCGGCGCTGTATGTGCAAAAATGTATTCGCCAGCATCTTTCTCACTAGTGGCGATTTACTCATTAAGTAATCCAGGGCGGCTTATGGAGAATCTGGGTGGCCAGTTTTTCTTTTTTTCAGGGATTGTTTGACACAGTGTGTGTGTGTGTGTGTTTTTTGAGTTTCCCTGGTTGGGTTTAAGAGCTCCTATGTGGGATGCTTTGGATATTTCAGCGGGCTTAAAGGGACTTCCCACCTTGATCACCCCTATATTTCCTTAGCCCCTTGGCGCAATATGTTATTTGGCAAAGAGCCTGCCCTAAAGCGTAGTTCATTTCCTAAGCGCAAAGAACATAAGGGAGAAGGAGTGTAAGTAGCTGCAGCCCAATAAACCCTAAACCCTAACCCCTAAACCCTAAACCCGAAGCATCTGAGGACCTTATATTTAACACTGGCCTGCGGCCGTTTGAGCTCCCCCGGCAGGCGAAGCTCGATTGAACTTCGGATTTGGAACTCGGGTTTAGCCCCCTTATACTAACAGTCCTTAATGGGGATTCTAGTATCCACACAATTACAATCCCTACTATATAAGGAAGGGGGAACATCACAAGTTTGGGTTTCAGGGTTTTGGCTGACCTGATATTTTGAGTGGTCATGGGCGGGGAGATCACGACTCGACCTTGTGGTTCGCTTATCAGGTTGCGTATGCAAACATGGAGAGGGTGGGGGGGGGGGGGGGGGGGGGGGGGGGGGGGGGGGGGGGGGGGGGGGGGGGGGGGGGGGGGGGAAGAGAGAGAGAGAGAGAGAAGGCATCGCTGACAGGACGTCGGACTGGACCACGCTGTAGAGTGCGCATTTCGATGCAACACCCTTCAGGGGGTTGCTATGCTGGCAGAGAGAGTGAGAGAAACACAAAACATACATGATGAGGGTTAAGAGCGAAAGTAAGAGAGAGAGAGAGAGAGAGAGACAGAGAGAGGAGAGAGACGCGGTTTAGGGCATATTATGTGAGAGTTCAGGGTCACAAGCTATTTCCCGAGAGTGGCCCGAGAGTTTCTCATGAATTTGGCCGAGCACCGAAGAGGGTGGACTGTATCGGCTTTCCGAAACCCCCCTCCTGCAACATGAGTTCTGGTATCCTGAGGTATATTAAACCTCTCCATTGCGAGAAATTTCTGTATTGACCTTACCCAATGCTGGCGAAGATTGCAACACCAACTGATGGAGAGGCAGAAAGAGCGTGAGAGAGAGAGCAACTTTCCCAGATGGGTTCATTAGGGTTTAGGTTTCCAAAAAAAACTAGGGGTTTCATTAGTGTTTTCAGGTTTTGACACGAAAGGTTGAGGGGGTTTCAGGGTTCTTGAGGGCTCCGAGGAGGCCTATCAGGAAGACAAGGGCCGGCCTGTTCCCTCTCTTGGCTTTGGGGCTTTAGGGCTTTAGGGTTTAGGGCTTTAGGGTTTAAGGTTTTTGGGTTTTTGGGTTTTGGGGTTTTGGGGTTTTGGGGGTTTTTGGGGTTTGGGGTTTCTAAGAGAGAGAGAGAGAGAGAGAGTTAGTTTCTGAGAGAGAGAGAGAGATAGAGAGAGAGAGAGAAGGCTTTAGGGTTTACTTGGGGTTAGAGGTTCTGCTTGAAGAGTTTAGGTCCGCAGGCCGAAAATGCTCGACAGCAGCTTTCCGAAGTGTAAGTAGGTTCCCTAAACCCTAAACCCTCAACCCTCAACCCTCAACCCTCAACCCTAAACCCTAAACCCTAAACCCTAATTGTCGCTCGGGAACGATCTCTGCTTGGGGGCTTGGGCCTTCGACTGAGGCTTGCGGCGCTGATGCAGATGCAGCACAAGAAAGGCATCCTTTCAAAGCAAGAGGCTGCGGGGTGGTTAGGCTAAACGACGGAATTGGCCCTAAACCCTAAACCCTAAACCCTAAACCCTAAACCCTTATTATGACATGGTTCCGGGGCTACCACACGTGGAGCATGCGCAGGGGAGCGAGGGGAGCCCAGGGCAACAAAGGCGAGATACAAATCCCCTTAGAACGCACCAGGATATTAGGGTTTAGGGTTTAGGGTTTAGGGTTTAGGGTTTAGGGTTTAGTGATGTGGTTGTTGCTCCACATTGTTTGGGGAAATTGCGGAATTCTTAGCAGCCCAGTGGTACTCTTTTGCCCTTTTTTGTCCAAGGTTCCCTTATCAAGTAACCAGCCCGCAAAAAGGTTCCCTTATTGTACCCTAAACCCTAAACCTTAAACCCTAAACCCTAAACCCCCAAAAGGGTACCCTTACTAATAAGATGGTTACCATATCCCTAAGCAGTGAACCCCTTGCACCCAGGCGCTGATTCTGGATGGTGCCCTTGGCTTGGCGGGCAAAAAGGCGACGTGGGGAACACTGCTTTAGGGTTTAGGGTTTAGGGTTTAGGATCTGTGGCTTCTCTCACTTCAGGAGCTGACTTGCTGCAAGGGTTTTCCTGTACCCAACCGCGCCTTGGTTCTTGGGGTAAACCCTAAACCCTGAACCCTACACCTTGTGCTGGTAGTTTTCCTGGGACCCTATTTACCGACAAATATGAATCGCAAGGACCTCCTAATCTAGTAGGCCCTAAACCCTAAACCCTAAACCCTAAACCCTAAACCCTAAACCCTAAACCCTAAACCCTAAACCCTAAACCCTAAACCCTAAACCCTAAACCCTAAACCAGGGCTTGGCCCCAAGTCTGAAGGGACTGGAAGCTAATATGTTTCCCTCGACCCTCAGACATGCATTCTCCGCCTCGAGGGCCGAAGCTTCAGGGCCCAAAACCTGAGCTCACCTGTTTGTTTAGGGTTTAGGGTTTAGGGTTTGGGGTTTAGGGTTTAGGGTTTAGGGTTTAGGGTTTAGGGTTTAGGGGTTTTTGGAAGCAGAGAGACTCGGCTAGATGAGTGTTTGTTTTTTCTTTTTCCTCTTCAGAGAGAGATGATCGTAGTGTATAGTCGGTCAAATGCTGTGACCAGCGGGGGAATGAGGTGGAATTTTCGTGATGTCTTGTAGGCTCACGGGCACGTATAAGTAAGGTTAGAAGGGCCTACTGAATAGGGTTCTAACCTTAACATCCTTAATTACTTATCGTACCCATGAACCTCCAGGGCCTTTCAGGGGATGCCCAGACCGAGCCCCAACGAGAAGCCTCTACAAGCCCTCCTCGCTTTTGCAGTGGCCCCGAACCTCCCAAGTATCGCACTTTACATCCAGGTAGTTGACGGGCTCTGAACCTTGAGAGGTGCCACCCTCATCCCCAAAAGCCTACAAACCTTGAGATTTCAAGGCTTTAGAGTTAGGGCTAGGGTTTAGGTTTCGAAGCCGCAGGTCGGAAGCTGCATCACGCGCATCGAGGCGCGGCCAGGAAAGTAACGCCTTCGATGAGGTTTCGGGGTTTCTTAGATAGGGTTGAGTACGCACATATATGGGCAGGCAACGTGAGCCGAGTGTAAATGCAAAGGTGGCATGGGTGACCAATGCTGCCCCGTTGCACAATGTGTGCCTGCTGCATGAACCCTACTCGTACCAAAAACCCTCAACCCTCAACCCTAAACCCTAAACCCTAAACAGCGACAAGTTGACTGCGTCTTCCATCCCAACTTGGCAGAGCTGTCGGTTTATCCCAGAGAACGCGTCATCCATGGCGGTGGTCTCCGCATCCCTATAAACCCTTCCGGGGTTTATAGGGTTTAGGGTTTAGGGTTTAGGGTTT